GTCATAGTCCATTCATTTTGCTATGACAAAAATACCATAGACTAGGTAGCTTATGAACAATAGAAATTGATTTCTCATAGTTTTGTAGGCCGGTAAGTTCAAGATCAAGGTGCTAGCAGATTCTGAGCCTGATTAGGACCCAATCCACATAGACAGCACCTTCTCGCTGCATCCTCACATGAGGGAAAGGGAAAGGCAGCTTTCTTAGGCCTCTTTTTATTTTTTATCTTTTATTTTACCGTAAGTTCTGGGATACATGTGCAGAACGTGAGGTTTGTTACATTGGTATACACATGCCATGGGTTTGCTGCACCTATCCACCATCATCTAGGTTTTAAGCCCGGTATGCATTAGGTATTTATCCAAATGTTCTCCCTCTACTTTCCCCCATCCCGTGACAGGCCCTGGTGTGTGATGTTTCCCTCCCTGTGTCCATATGGTCTCATTGTTCAATTCCCACTTATGAGTGAGAGCATGTGATGTTTAGTTTTCTGTTCCTCTGTTAGTTTGCTGAGGATGATGATTTCCAGCTTATCCATGTCCCTGCAAAGGACATTAACTCATTCTTTTTTATGGCTGCATAGCATTCTATGGTGTATATGTGCCACATTTCCTTCATTCAGTCTATCATTGATGGGCATTTGCGTTGGTTTCATGTCTTTGCTATTGGTTATATTGCTGCAGTAAACATATGTGTGCATGTGTGTTTATAGTAGAATGATCTATAATTATTTGAGTACATAACCAGTAACGGGATTGCTGGGTCAAATGGTATTTCTGGTCCTAGATCCTTGAGGAATTGCCACACTGTCTTCCACAATGGTTCAACTATTTTACACACCCACCAACAATGTAAAAGCGTTCCTCTTCCTCCACAGCCTCACCAGCATCTGTTGTTTCCTGATTTTTTAGTGATCACCATTCTAAGTGGTATCGGATGGTATTTCATTGTGGTTTTGATTTGCATTTCTCTGATGACCAGTGATGATAAATTTTTTTTTCATGTTTCTTGGCTGCATGTCTTCTTTTGAGAAGTGTCTGCTCATATCCTTTGTCCACTTTTTTTTTCTTGTATTATACACGTGCAGAATGTGCAGGTTTGTTACATAGGTATACACATGCCACGGTGGTTTGCTGAACCCATCAACCCATCATCTACCCTCCCATCATGCTATCCCTCCCCTAGTCCCCCACCCCCATACAGGCATGCGGGTGTGATGTTCCCCTCCCTGTGTCCAGGTGTTGTCATTGTTCAACTCTCACTTGTGAGTGAGAACATGCGATGTTTGCTTTTCTGTTCTTGGGTTAGTTTGCTGAGAATGATGGTTTCCATCTTCACCTATGTCCCTGCAAAGGACATGAACTCACCCTTTTTTATGGCTGCATAGTATTCCATGGTGTATATGTGCAACATTTTCTTTATCCAGTCTATCACTGATGGGCATCTGTATTGGTTCCAAGTCTTTACTATTGCGAACAGTGCTGCAATAAACATACATGTGCATGTGCCTTTATAGTAGAATGATTTATAATCCTTTGGGTATATACCCAGTAATGGGATTGCTGGGTCAAATGGTGTTTCTGGTTCTAGATCCTTGAGGAATCGCCACACTGTCTTCCACAATGGTTGAACTTATTTACACTCCCACCAACAATATAAAAACATTCCTGTTTCTCCACATCCTCTCCAGCATCTGTTGTTTCCTGACTTTTTAATGATCGCCATTCTAACTGGCATGAGATGGTATCTCATAGTGGCTTTGATTTGCATTTCTCTAATGACTAGTGATGATGAGGTTTTTTTTTTCATATGTTTATTGGCAGCATAAATGTACTCTTTTGAGAAGTATCTGTTCATATCCTTTGCCCACTTGTTGATGGAGTTGTTTTTTTCTTGTAAATTTGTTTAAGTTCTTTGTCTGTTCATATCCTTTGCCCACTTGTTGATGGAGTTGTTTTTTTCTTGTAAATTTGTTTAAGTTCTTTGTAGATTCTGGATATTAGCCTTTTGTCAGATTGATAGATTGCAAAAATTTTCTCCCATTCTGTAGAGTGCCTGTTCACTCCAATGACAGTTTCTTTTGCTGTGCAGAAGCTCTAAGCTCTTTGGTTTAATTAGATCTCATTTGTGAATTTTGACTTTTGTTGCCATTGCTTTTGGTGTTTTAATCATGAAGTCCTTGCCCATGCCTCTTACACTTAAGTTGTTAATTCATCTTGAGTTAATTTTTGTATAATGTGTAAGGAAGGGGTCCAGTTTCAGTTTTCTGCATATGACTAGCCAGTTTTCCCAACACCATTTATTAAACAGGGAATCCTTTCCCCATTTCTTGTTTTTGTCAGGTTTGTCAAAGATCAGATGGCTGTAGATATGTGGTGTTATTTCTGAGGCCTCTGTTCTGTTCCATTGGTCTATATATCTGTTTTGTTACCAGCACCATGTTGTTTTGCTTACTGTTGCCTTGTAGTATAGTTTGAAGTCAGGTAGCATGATGCTTCAAGCTTTGTTCTGTTTGCTTACAATTTTCTTGGCTATGTGGGCTCTTTTTTGGTTCCATATAAAATTTGAAGCAGTTTTTTCTAATTCTGTGTAGAAAGTCAATGGTAGCTTGATGAGTATAGCACTGAATCTATAAATTACTTTGGGCAGTATGGCCATTTTCACAACATTGATTCTTCCTATCCATGAGCATGAATGTTCTTCCATTTGTTTGTGTTCTCTCATTTCCTTGAGCAGTGGTTTGTAGTTCTCCTTAAAGAGGTCCTTCACATCCCTTGTTAGCTGTATTCCTGGGTATTTTATTCTCTTTGTAGCAATTGTGAATGGAAGTTCATTCATGATTTGGCTCTCTGCTTGTCTATTGTTGGTGTAATGCTTGTGATTTCTGCACATTGATTTGGTATCCTGAGACTTTGCTGAAGTTGCTTATCAGTTCGAGGAGTTTTTGGGCTGAGAGGATGGGGTTTTCTAAGTATAAAATCATGTCATCTGCAAAAAGAGACTATGTGACTTCCTCTCTTCCTATTTGAATATACTTTATTTCTTTCTCTTGCCTGATTGCCCTGGCCAGAACTTCCAATACTATGCTGAACAGGAGTGGTGGAGAGGGCATCCTTGTCTTATAGTGGTTTTCAAAGGGAGTGCTTCCAGCTTTTGCCCACTCAGTACGATATTGGCTGTGGGTCTGTCATAAACAGCTCTTATTACTTTGAGATATGTTCCATCAGTACCTAGTTTATGGAGAGTTTTTAACATGAAGGGATGTTTAATTTTATCGAAGGCCTTTTCTGCATCTATTGAAATAATCATGTGAGTTTTGTCATTGGTTCTGTTCATGTGATGGATTACATGACTTGCATGATTACATGACTTGCAAGTTTACTGACTTGCATATGTTGAACCAGCCTTGCATCCCAGGGATGAAGCCGACTTGATTTTGGTAGATAAGTTTTTTGATGTGCTGCTGGTTTCGGTTTGCAGGTATTTTATTGAGGATTTTCACATAGATGTTCATCAGGGATATTGGCCTAAAGTTTTCTTTTTTGTTGTGTCTCTTCCCAGTTTTGGTATCAGGATGATGCCGGCTTCATAAAATGAGTTAGGGAGGAGTCCCTCCTTTTCGATTGTTTTGATCAGTTTCAGAATGAACGGTACCAGCTCCTGTTTATATTTCTGGTAGAATTCAGCTATGAATCCATCTGATCCTTGGCTTTTTTGGTTGGTACTCTGGCCTCTTCTTTTTAGAGTACTAATTCCATTTCATGAAGGTGCCATTTTTATGACCTAATCATTGCCCAAAGTCCTCACCTCCAAATAACATCACACTGGGGATTAAATTTCAACATATGAATTTGCAAGGGGACACAAGCATTCGGTCCATAACAAACATGGTGTATCAACATTTGGTCAAACACTATTCTGGATGTTTCTGCACAAGTGTTTTTGGATGAGATTAACATCTAAATTGGTGGACTTAAATAAATCAGATTACCCTCCAAAATGTGGGTGGGCCTCTTCCAAATGGCTGAAGGCCTTAATAACACAGACAGACCTCCTATCCAGCAAAAATAAATTTTGCCAGCACACTGCCTTTGGACTCAACTGCAACTCTTCCTTCAGTCTTCGGCCTGACAACCTACCTGAAAATTTTGGATTTAACAAGCCTTCTCCCTCTCCTTCTTTCTCTCTCTCTCTATCCATTTGTATTTATATTTTCATTTACACACACACACACACACACACACACATATCCTATCAGTTCTGTTTCTTCGGAGAACCCTGGTTAATACCAATACTTATTTGACATTGAGTTGGCTACCTCTTTTAACCCTCACAACAATGTTTTCAAATAGCTATTGTTCTCTCTAATCCATTGATGAAAAAAACTAAGGTCTACAAAGGTTTAGTACCTTAGTAAGAAAGAGTGGAGTCAAAAACAGACAGCAAAGCAGTTACAGTCACCATGGCAGGGCATGTAGTGGTTTGCTCAAGGATCTACTGCTAGTGAGATAGAGCCAGAATTTCAATCTAAGGTTATCTAATCCCAAAAGTAGGGGAAAATACTATCTTTATCTTTGTGCAAATACAGAAACTGAATACACTACACAAAGTAAGTGACCTAAACTTGCAACAGTGTTGGAACAAAGACTGGAGGCTGGAAAAGTGTGCTTTCACCTACAATATACGTAAAGTTTGACTAAAAGTCACTCTAATCTGTTTTGTTCCATTTGGGATGGCATTTCCCAATCATTTACTTTTATAGTATCATATGATAAACATGGTCTGTCTGAGCATACAGTTTACAAAGCAAATTTTTATTTCATTCAAATGTTCCTAGAGAGAGTAAATTTTTAAAAAACATCATTGTTTACAGGCAAATTGTCCTCAAAGTTGGCTACCCTTTCCAAATCATTAAATGTTTTCATTTTCTCACCCAATATAAAATGAACTAGGCAACTGTATAAGAGAAATATAAAAACCACCTTCAGCAATGTGTTACCTGTCAAAGTCAGAGTTCAGACGCTCAAAATTTTTTACTACTCTAAGAACCTGGATCTCCTGACTGATGAAGGAAGGTGGCAACAATCCATGAATGTTCAATTGCTGTCTCTCTTCCAGGGTAAAGGCCAAGTCCTATAGAGGAAAAAAACACACATACACAATAGCATTTGAGAGAAAAGTAGACAAAAAGAATACATATAAAACTCGACAAGTATATGCAATTAAAAATCAGAAGTCTGCATCACTGGAAACATGGCCATGTGGCTGTGAGTAAACCATGTAAGCTCTCCATATCTCAGTTTCCCTCTCTGTAGAAATTAGAATACCATAATATTTCAGAGCTGTGCCACTCAGATATCATTAGGATAAAATCAGATGATGAATGGAAGGAAACTACTTACAGACACAAAAATGAAAGAAGATATAATCATTAAGACTAACATCAGTAAATATAAAAATAAAAAGAGAAGAGATTATTATAAGAAGAGATATTAAAATTATGAATGTGAATAAGACACCTGTGACCTCCTGTGATTCCACCTTTAAAATAGCTCAGGAAATGCCTTATATGATTCTGAGTTACCTGTTTCAACGCTCTTCTCCCAAGTTGTAGCCTTTGATTCTTATGCACTCCCAGGCATACAAAACTTCTCACCATTGCCCATACATACCACACCCTTTTATTCTTCCATGGCACATGGTCAAGATATTCTTCCCTGTTTCTCTGCCCTTCATGCCTTACCTCAAATGCTTCCTCCTCTCTAAAGCCTCAGTATATCCATAACAACCCTATTATTATACCTATGTTATCTGTTTACATGAACATTGATTGTATAAAACAAATGATAATAACAAACTATGAAGCTCAAAAACATGAAAACTAAATAGAAGTTATGCGTTGATGCATAAACCATAATGGACCTAAGATACGTGCTGGCATATAATACAAGACAAAGTAATATCAGAGCAGCTACCGTAGTCATTAAGAAAGTGATCTGGTAGATTAGGACAAGAAGTCCCTCTGGAGAGGCCTTCAATTGGAGACACTGAAGCCCAAGAGACTTCTTTATGTAGACTGTGACTGCTGTTCCTCTGGGTCCAGTATAAGTACACCAATATGATATGATAGTTGGTGTTATGGTCTGAACATTTGTGTCCCCCAAAATTCACACTGAAATCCTTACCCCCAAGGCGATGGCTTTAGGGAGAAGGGTCTTTGGGAGGTGATTAGAGCAGACCCCTCAAGAATAGGATTATTACCCTTATAAAAGGAACCTCAGAGAGCTTTTCACCCCTTCTGCCATGTGAGGACACAGCAAGAAGACCGCTGTCTACAAATCAGGAAGCAGACCCCTCACCAGACACCAAATTTGCAGTACCTTGATGTTGAACTTTCCAGCCTCCAGAGCTGGGAGAAATAAATTTATTTTGCGTATAAGCCACCCAGTACATGGTATTCCATTAAGGCAGCCTGAAAGGACTAAGATAGTTGGTTTTGCTCATTGTGACTACTGCTATCTCTAATCAACCTGGATGGGTAAGAATGTGTTCACTAACTTTGCACTGAGTGATTCTACAATGATTCCTCCGTCCCTGAAAGCTTCTTGCAATGACAGAATAGTGACTCGAGTACTTACAAAATGTATTACTTAGGAGAAAGGAGAGACAATTTGGTTCATCCCACAGGGAGATGACAAACTTTGATTGGTTAGGAATAAACATGTCCAACCCCAGGAAGTTTGTGAAAGAGGTCAATGAATGAACAATTCCTCTCTTTCTTCTAATTTTTCATACAGATATACCCATTAATTCATGTCACTGATGGAAAGGTTTGTGTTTAATTAGCCTCCTGGGTTGAGGGCCAGACTGAAGAGAGACAAATTGGTCCACTGAATGACGCCATGATAGAGCTCTCTGAAATAACTGCAAGAGTTGGCTGGGACCAATAGCTCCAGAATCTTCAGCACAAGAAGCAGTGTACAATCTTCAATTCTCATAAGGTCTCTAAGTGCTATCACCACAGCTGGTGTCTACTTGCAAGGTATTTTTCATTAGCAGCCATTCTCATAGCTGCAAACGCCCCCACTGTTACAGCTGGGCATCCTCTGAAGTTTCAATATGTGTGGACAGGAGCAGAATGGTCCCTTTCCAAGAGGATAACCCAGCTTGTTCAACTGTGTCTGGACCAATCACCCTCTCTAGGACCTAAATGGCAGACAGTACAATCTGTCAGTCCTTTGCCCAGCAGTTCCAGCTGGCACCAGGAGACATTTGTGGAATTGCCTAAACTCTTTGCTTGCCATTTACTTTTTTACTTGTGGTTCGCGTCCCCACAACAGAATGAAAACTCCACAGGGCCACAGAATTTTGTTTTCTTCACTGCTTTTTCCCTAGTGCTTACAACAGTGCCTGACAAAATTAGAACTCAGTAATTTGTTGCACATAAAATTTTAACATAGTCAATAGAATATTTATAATTCATTAGAATGTATTATTAGAAAATTCAGAATTCATAGAAAATGTCAAATATTCAAATTTTGAGACATTAAAATTTTTTAAATCTATTACATTGCTGCTCAAAAACTTGATTAGCACATTCATTCTGATCAAATTACTTTCAAAATTCAAAGCAACAAGAGATATTTATATGAAAAAGTAATTTATAAAATGGAAGACAAACTTCACTTGTTAAAGATATAACTGGGAAGACATTTAAGTCAAAATGTCATGAAATAACTCCTTGGAAAGAGACAAAATTATGTACAGTAATATATTTGAAAAAGAAAGAAGAGAAAATTCAACAGATTTTTATTTAACTAGAAAATGAAAAGGGGGAAGGAAAGCTGGCTAAAGTCTCAAAAATATACAAATATATGTGAAGAAGCAGTAAACTTCTGAGTGTTATGCCTTGAAAATCTGCCCAAAAACATAACAATCAAAATATAACATTTTGATAAGTCTTGTGAGAAGTACTAACATATGCTCTTTCATTCCCTGAATAATGGCACTTAACATTTACTGCTATAGTTAGCCGGTCTTTTCACATAAATTTTCCAATGGTCTCTTCTGAAACTGATTCCTAAATCTAACGATTCTCCATATCTTATGCCATGTAAATAATAATGCCATCTGGAAATCTTTTTATATTCTTTGATGTTTAGTAACTACAAACTCCCAAACACTGTTAGCCAAATTTTCTAAGACATACTAAAGTGCTAATTCAATTCTTTTAAAAACAACAGCAACAAAACCTAGGGCTTAGAAATTTAGGGAACTGGGCCAAGTTAAAGTCCTAAGATTGGGGAGAAAAACAGTCCTATGGGCCAGGCGCGGTGGCTCACACCTGTAATCCCAGCACTTTGGGAGGCCAGGGCAGGTGGGAGTTTGAGACCAGCCTGGCCAATATGGTGAAACCCCATCTGTACTAAAATTACAAAAATTAGCTGGGCATGGTGGCATGCATTTGTAGCCCCAACTACTTGGGAGGCTGAGGCAGAAGAATTGCTTGAACCTGGGAGGCAGAGATTGCAGTGAGCTGAGACAGCAGCACTGCACTCCAGCCTGGATGACAGAACAAGACTCTTTCTCAAAACAAAAAACAAACAAAAAAAACTAGTCCTATGATTGGTGATAGACATTCTATCACTACCCTTTATAAGTTAAAAGAACATCAACAAATAAGTAAACGTAAATCTTAAAACCCCTGAAAATTTTAAAATGGATATTGTATTATTTCATTTAAGCCACAGTTTCTATTTTTCATACTAACAGAGACATATTCATTAGAGATCTATTTTTATAGGCAGGTCAGTTATGTCTAAAGTTTGAAGTAAAATATTTCGAAGAATTTTTACCTTAGCATTATCCTGCAGGGCCTATCCAACAAAGAATAATTAACCCAAATTAGACATGCAAGTTCTAACTTTCATTTGATTTCTACCAAATCTTTCATGTAGTTGAAAACATTAGACGTCTATATATATGTGTGTGTGTATATATACCTAATATACATATACCTAATATATATACACACCATATATATATATACACACACACACACCCCTAATATATGTGTACATTATATTACACATATAATGTAATATATGTGTGATATATTATATATATTATATATATATTATATAATATATATATCCAGACCACCTGTACATCTAATTCTCTAAAGGCATCCTCATATATGCTAAGTTTGACCCTGGTTTTTCTCCTTTTTGTCTTTTCTTTCCTGTCCCTATTCCTTATAAAACCTTTGGACTAGATCCCTAGACAGCAGAATGGTACGTTGTTTCACTGCTGAGGGCAGCAAACAGGACAACTGTTCGTCTGGACTGTGCTAATTAACTTATGTATATCTTCTTGAGAAAACTGAGACTATCAAGCAGAAATGAAAAGAAAATTCCTGACATGACAAAGCACTTATATTAGAAATGATATTTGCAGGGAGCAAGCATAACTGAGAAAGAAACTTAGTCCTGAGTAATTTATCAGAAACTATTTTCATATATATATTTCAAATATATATATTTCATATATATATTTCAAACTATTTCAAATATAGTATGTGTTCAAATATAGATCCTTAATATTTCCAATGAACGACTTTCTTTTTTCCCTGAAAAATTACTAAATCAAGTTGAATTGCAAAAAAAAAAAAAGGAAATCTTTATCTTATTCACAAAGATCTTTAAGACAGTTAATCTAAACATGTATGAAAATTCATTATGGTAACAGAACTTATAATTTAAATGTTTGAGGCTATGATTATATTATGGCAGAGATGGTTTGTGTGTTCTGTTTAACTAGTGTAATTCCTAGTGTCTAGAATAATACCTGTGTGGCACTTCATAGGCAATAAACAAATATGTGTTGGATTAACTAATGATTAATTAATTATACTTGTTATAGTACATTTCAGAGAACACAAAGCAGAAAAGTGAATAAGGAAGGTTAAAAATGGTAGAGAAGCAAATGGAAAGTAATAATTGCAAATAATTTGAAACAACAAAAGTCCTTCAACTGGTAAATGGATAACATTAAGGTATATCCATACACTGAAATATTACCCAACAGTAAAAGAAACAAACTATTGATACACAAAATATAGATGAATCTTAAAT